TTACCGAACCAGAAGTATAAGGAACCTATTTTGATGACGTTTCCTGATATTCTGGAGATGACGTTGTGAAGTCTAAATTTTCATGCGTACCCTGGAATGTAGTCTTTAAGAATTAGTACAACCGAAATATTCTTTAATTAAAATAAAAGTGGTTTGCGCACATTAGGGTATAGGTAAAAAATGTTTGGTTTAGTAAAAATGGATGAAACAAAAGAAAGAGAGTGACAATTTGACAAGTAGTTTTGAATACTACTAACTTGCTCGAAAGTAGTGCTATCGATTGTAACAGGATAGGAATCCCTTTCTCGTATTTACGGAGAGTGCGCTTACCGAACCAGAAGTATAAGGAACCTATTTTGATGACGTTTCCTGATATTCTGGAGATGACGTTGTGAAATCTAAATTTTCATGCGTACCCTGGAATGTAGTCTTTAAGAATTAGTACAACCGAAATATTCTTTAATTAAAATAAAAGTGGTTTGCGCACATTAGGGTATAGGTAAAAAATGTTTGGTTTAGTAAAAATGGATGAAACGAAAGAAAGAGAGTGACAATTTGACAAGTAGTTTTGGATACTACTAACTTGATCTAAAGTAGTGCTATCGATTGTGGCAGCAAATATACTTAGGCCATATAGTCATCAGTGCCTCCACAACACTGAATTTACATCTAATTATAAAAAAATGTAACTAATATCATCACATACAGCGAGTGTCGACCCAAAGCATACAAGCGTTTCTCTGCGCCCTCAAAAGAATGGCCTGATACGCCACAAAGGTACATCCTATTCTGGCAACTTTCTACAGATGTTCTGAAGCCTATATCTTGAATTTAGGAGTGCCTAGACTGCCTTAAATGCGATTTGTGGACAATCGCAATTGAGCCCATGTAACTTGAAATATAACGGTTGGGAAGAGAGAAAACAGATGTATGGTATAATGTGATGAATGAAAGTATCCTGTAAAAAAACAAGCGTGTATGCATGTAGATAGTTCGTTCCCTTCGGTTCACCGTAAAGTGGTTTTGTCACAACATCAAATTGATCGAAGGCCATAAAAACAAGCGTCAAGCCCGAGTAACTCGGTTGTCAGGACTATAAAGGCCAAAGTTGGGCTGTTGACTCGAAGAGACCCGAACTTTATGCAAAAATATGCGTCCCAGGAGACATTTGGTTTTGCCGAAATGATGCTTGGCAAAGCAGCAAAGCCGACGAAGTAGGCTGAGGAGGCAGATCAGCATTCTGGCTTTGCTACCTCATTACCACAATAGAACGACTAGCCTTGAGTCCGTTAAACGTAATTGCCTTTGACCTAAACGAATCAGGCGAACTCGTAATATAACGAGTCTGCAATGTTTATGGCTCCGGTCTTCGCTTTATCACACCAACGGTTGCCGTGGTCACGGGAGGCGATAGACGCAAACTTCGCCAGAAGGCCTTAATCCGAGCCGAACCGAGGCATCGGCCAAGCGGAATAGAATCAACGAGGCGAACAATCGAGGGGATAGGCCCAGAATTGACGACCTGCTCCGCCCTGTCCTTCAGTTGAGTGCACGACCGCGGTCCCAGACCCCTCAGGCCAATCTGGCATTTGGGATTTTGTGGAGCTAGAAAAGTTAAAGTGATGAAAGGAGCTGACTGACCGCATTCGAGGGAAAATATGTGGGCCACAAGCAGCAGTCAAACAGGAAACGTGTGTGTATGTTCAAACAAGCGATAGGAGCCAAAAAATGGAGCCTCTGGATAATTGTAAAACAAACGGTCAGAACAAAGAAAAGTGCTTATGTGGAAAATGGCAAACGGCACAATACGGCCTAAAATGAAGAGGATATTATCAAAACAATGCATCATACAAATGCATAGTTCACGACTCTGGAGCATGGCAAAAAATGTGTAAACTTTCCTCAAGTGCTTGTGTAAAATTATGACAGTTTCGATGTTTACGACTTGTCCATAGTCGGGCATGCTAAACTTAGTGTTAACTTGAAGCTTTTGCAGAAATGAGCTCGGACTTGTGTGACGATGTTCGACAGGCTGCACGACGGACGAAAGCAAGGCCATTGTTACCCGAAACGAGAGAGGATGTCTCACGGACTGCGTCCATCTGAAAGTTGTATTAAAGCCAATCAGTGACAGAACAACAAGAACCAACAAACTTCTTCAGCTGAGATCGACCAACGAATCTCATTATCTTGCACTTCACACAAAACGAAGCTCTCCACAAGAATGCAATCTCAAAAGGTTTATAGAAACCCAGTCTCCTTTGACATAAATCAGTAGTTATCATCAGATTATAATTTCGTCATGGCGCTATGCTTATGTAAATATGCCAGATAAAGAGTTTTTACAGTCATCCTGGTA